AACAGAGATATGGAACAATGTGAGAGAGGATTCTTCTGGTGACCACTGAGCTGAGGTACAGCATGCTCAGCTTTTGAAGAATCAGAATTACTATAAGGGCATCAAAGAGGGAGGCAGATCTATAAATAGATCTTGTGTGAGAGAGAACAGAAACTATCTTTGTTGTCAGATCTCTTCTGTCTTCTATTATCTAATGGTTAGAGACTACTAAAGTAGAATCAAAATTGCTACCTGTTAACTTTGTAGCATTCTAACCTTTGGTGCCCATTTACAAAGTTGTATCTGACCACAGGAATGGATTCCAAAACAAATGATCTGGATCACACAAGGTAGTCACTAAGAAAACAGATGATAGGGTGTTTGAGGATACACATAGATATAAGTCCAAAATAGATAAGGCACTCTGTCACTCAGATGTATTTATGCCCCTCAATAGGAAGACTTGAATAGTTGTAGCATGCCTTGTGCATGGGGACCCACTGTTTGATGCAGAGCTTCTGTTTCTGCATCTTTTTTTTTCTTGGACATGAGTTCTTTCTAGTTAGGCTCTCACTAATGCAGCAGTACTTTGGCTTACTCTTTTCATATGAGTCATATCAGAGACATGCCAATCATCCTTGTGTATTATAACTGCCAATGGCTACTTTGAGTTTGGGAGAACAGCTTGAACAGCAGTTTGTTCCATCTACAGAGCCTGCCCTTGTTCTGAGTAGGGTTCTCAAATGTACCATATGTTGACCCTCAAGGCAAATATGGACCCCAAACTGACGTTGCTTGAGTGTTAGGAATACAATATAGAAATATGAAAGGACATGCCATTAAATTTGGGAAGGATGTTTTTACTTGACTCTAAAATACCATGAGAAGTGTTGATCCTTGAGTCCTCTTGTGATCTTCTCATAGTACTGTGTTCTTACTGAATGCTGTTGTTCTCTATATTAAGTCAAGAAAGTGCCACTTCTTTCTAATAATTCTCAATTCACATGCTATCGTTAATATACTATGTTTAATTAGTACAACTTTGGGAATTATTAATGAACCAGTAGCAAGTGATGCAGTCTTTAAATGAAAGTGTGAAATGTGTTACATTTTTTAGCAAATACAGGTCCAGTTATTTGAATTATCCTGATAATGACTATAATATAGTTGAAATACATTCACCATATCAATAGTCATATATATATAATATTCAGAGGAGGTGCTCTTCTGCCAAGTAATGATCCTAAGGATCATTTGCCAGTGTAAAATTAATATATTACGATCTGCAATCACCTGTATTCCACCAGGTTCTGGCAGAACCTGGGTATATTCATTGAAGAGGATGGACACAGGAAGGACACAGATGTTTTTATTGTCATAATCAATTTCATTCTTTGAAGAATATGGTTGTTATAGTTTATTCATTGTCTATCAGTTGCAGAGAGATTTAGAGAGCTCCCATTGTTCTTGTTAACAATAATATTCTTCATACCACAGGTCAGGGATCAACGTTGAATTTTAGCCAGCCCCACATCTGCAAATTTCAACTATACATTTAGGATTAGGTAAGTGACTACAAACCTACCAGATCATATTGGAATGTATATGAATGAAAACTTTCAGCAGCATTTGTCATATAGACACTACAATTCATGGAATCTTTGTAGTTCTCAAATATTAGGTTCATTTTTGACCCATTTCCTGATAAAGGCAAAGAGTGTGTGGATATGTATCTTCTCTTTAGGCAAGTGCTTTATGGTAATGATTTAGCTTTGTAGGAACACTGTACAAACACATCGTGAGATTTCATTAGCCTTATCCTAAATATTCTTGATTAATTTCCATTAAGGATAATGAGACTTCCACTACCTCTGGCATCTACTTCTTTTAATTTGCTCAATAGTAACTACTGGGTTAGTTAAGCTTTTAGAATTCATTCCAGAGTAACCTCAGGGATTAGTTTTCTTCCTCTATTCTCTTTTTAGAGACTGATTCTCAGTATAGATGAATAGATTCTTGCACTGATTTATCATTGCCAGAACTTTGCTTGAGACTGTTACCATCTCCTTTTGAGAACATAACTAAACAGTTCCATAGACAAATAAGGCAGGCTGGCCAAATATATCATTTTTTCAACCATCCATGTAATAATATCCATCTATGAAAGTATCTATGTTTATTTCTACCTGTAATCTATCAAGTGTCTGTCACCATATATCATCTGTCAACCACTTATTTATCAGTCACCCACCATCATCATTTCTTAATCTATGTATCTACCCATCTCTTATACATGGAAAGCACTATTTTCTTCCCCCAAATGCAAAAGTTATATTAAAAAGTAATACAATTCATTAGCTGAAAAACAATAAACATACTAAAGTAGACAGGAAAAAACACATGAGGCTATAGTAACTAAGGAGTTCTAAGCAGGAAAAGGTATTTTCCTTGGAAAAGGATGTTAATTGATTATCTGATACTAAGTAACCATCCCTGAAAACACATATATAAGTAACATTATACACACTGAACATTTGTACTTATATATTTAGGAATATATATATATTTATATATATATGTATATATATATATATTAAGAATTAATGAAAAAGGAGGTCATGAATTTGAGAGAGAGCAGGGAGGGATATATGGGAGGGTGTGGATGGAGGAAATGGAAGAGGGAAATGATATAATTATAACCTGAAAAAAATGAAAGAAAAACTTATAAAGTAACAATAAAAATTACAAAGAACAGAGTTTCAGTAATTTATTTAGTTGAGTTCTTTTTACATAAATTGTCATGATGGTGATCCAGAATGTGACGAAGTTTTATATTGAAGATGAACAGTTAATGGGTTATTATGTTAAATATAATGATATAGAGACACACTTAAAGAATTTTGTTTGATTAAATACTTTTAAATTGCTTGTATTTGGCAGAGACAACTTATAATATGTCAGTCATGAAATAAAACTCAGAATTAGTGTGTTAATTTGTAAATATATGCAAATACATCATTTGCAAAGGTAGTCATACAGACAGCTCCCATCTGATGTAAGGATCTGTCATTTTTACTCTGTAAATGAAATATGTGGCAATTGTTCTTGGTTCCACTCTCACAGTTTCTGGAAGAGACCATCTTTCCTAGGAACTGCTGATCAGTAAGAAGTTCAAGCATTTCCTATGTATAAAGGAAGGTGCAGAGTTAGGGCTTGGCTCAGGGAAGTATGCAGGATTTGTGTCACTCTCTCCCAACAGACACAAATTTTGTCCCTTTTTAAAAGACCTTGAAGTTCCAGTAGCAGCACCCGCTCCATACAACTCCACCCCAAGCGTGTTTTGCATTTATCATTGTCTTTCTCATTTTTGTTACATGGAACAAGTCATAGTAGGAGGACCAGATTCTAGCTTTTACATTGATGGTAAGATTATGTTTCCATTATTTTCTTTTCTTAGCAGTTTCTTTTAAAATGTTTCAATAGCTGCTCTAAATTACCTCCCCAGCATGTCTTACCTCTAAATCTTGAGGTTTGTTTGTTTGTTTTGTTTTCCAAGAACTGTGTTGTGGTCATATTGTAACAACCCATCTTTCCTGTGATCTTCATCGGGATTTTTCTTGCTGCTTTTGATGTTACTGTTGTTTTTCAATATCTCATTATGCAGCTGAGACTAACTTTGTACTTGACTTCCTATGTCAGCCTCTTCAGTACTTTCAGTACTTCAGCCTCTTTCAGTATTTTTCCGTGTGTATCATCCCACCTCTTTCTGCAACTTTATTACATGTTTTCTTGTTATCTTTTGCTGTATTTTGGGGGATGGTAAAATGACTTGAGTATTTCTCTAGATTATCTAGGCACAGTCTAGGCAGTCATCCTTCATCTGCCATGATACCTCAGTTAGGTTGATGGCTCGGTTCTTGCCGCAAAGTGCAAAGTGAAGGAAATGAATAATGTCTGCAACTCCTTGGTGTTGGTAGGGAAATCAGATGAACTAATAAAAGGAAAAAGAGAATTGTGGACATTCTTTCTACAAAGACAAAAACATTTGGCCTTTTATTTTATGGCACTGTAGAAAATGCTTTTTCTCATAGATAACAAGAGTAACAAATTTGAAAATATTTGTATTTCTGCTACCTCAAATATATTTTGAATTACTCTTACACAATGTCTCACCAGCTATCACAGCATTTGCAACGAAGTAGATGCACAATAAATATTGAAAATGAATGTTTGGGTTAAGAATGAAGATTTGGGTAGAAAGAAGTCCATGTTTAATTATTAATGTATATTTATATTTGTATGACCTTATAAAAAGTAACATCATTAATACATCAGTAGGAAGTATTTGAGGAATATGGTTTCTGTCATTTATTAGGTAACTGGTAATGTATGGAAGAATTTTGGAAAACATATATAGGGCTCATGATGTATTCCAAGAGCTACTTATTTTATATGTGAGTCCAGATTTTTGTTTTCTGATTGAATTATATTTCTTTTCTTTTCTTTTTTGGCTTTTCGAGACAGGGTTTCTCTTTATTGTTTTGGAGGCTGTCCTGGAAATCGCTCTGTAGACCAGGCTGGCCTTGAACTCACAGAAATCCGTCTGCCTCTGACTCCCGAGTGTTGGGATTAAAGGCGTGCGCCACCAACACCCAGCTGAGTTATATTTCTATAATATTAGTAGTTCAGAAAAACAATATCCAGACTAAAATATGTAGATGAGACAAGACAAAAGAAATAAATACAATTTTGTTTTCATGGCAGCTTGTAGGAAGTCAATGTTTCCTTCACCAGCAACTATGGAGGAGACTTCATGTTCAGAGCATCCTGACGAAGTGCAGCTGGGCTGTATTCTACAACAAAAGCTTTTTTTTATGGAGAAAACAAATGAGCTCATTAGGGAATTTTGGTAATTGATTGACATTGACTATGAGAGTTCATGAAAGTGAGAATGTTGAAAATAGGGCACAGCATTCTAAAAGATTCATTAGTGTATCTTCTGTAGTGCAGAAGTCACCATCATGGCAGTGATATTAAATGCTCTCCTACAGGATATACTGACAACTATTGTAATTTTGGAATCCATCATAGGAAGCTTAGGAAATGCATTCATGGCACTGGTGAACATTGTGGACTGGGTGAAGAGAGGAAAGATCTCTGTGGTGGATCAAATCCTCACTGCTCTGGCCATCTCGAGAACTGCTTTTTTGTTTTCATCAATGACAAGTTTGTTGATGACATTACTGGACCCAGCCTCTTTGGAAATGAGAAGACTGAGAAGAATGTATACTATTTCCTTGACAGTGACCAATCATTTCAGCATCTGGCTTGCTACATGCCTCAGCATCTTTTATTTTCTCAAGATAGCCATTTTCTCAAACTCCATTTTTCTTACACTCAAATGGAAAGCAAAAAAAGTGGTATCGGTGATATTGATGGTGTCTCAGATAATCTTGTATATAAACATTATAGTCACAAATATAATCAGTGATAGACCTAAAGTAAACATACCTTACAGGTTTATCTCAAACAATACTCTAAGAGTTTCTGGGCTCTTTTTACTTACCAACACTATGTTCACACTCATCCCCTTCACTGTGACCTTGATTACTTTCCTCCTCCTCATCTTGTCCCTGCGGAGGCATCTGAAGAACATGCGGCACAATGCCAAAGGATTCCAAGATGTCAGCACTGCAGCCCACATAAAGTCCCTGCAAAGTGTGGTCACCTTCCTGTTACTGTATACCATTTTTGTCATGTCACTTCTTTTCCAGTCTTGGAATATTAACTCGCAACCAAGTAAACTTAACTTTATGGTTTTTTGGAGTACAGCAATAGCTTTTCCCTCAGGTCACTCATGCGTATTGATTCTGGGAAACACTAAGTTAAGGCAGGCTTTTCTTTCTATGCTGTGGTGGCTGAGGTGTTGTAAGCACAAATGTACATAGAATTGAGATGCCTGAAACATCTCAAGTATCCTCTTCCACATCTGGAGAAAATTCCATTGATAATAGATAGATTTTAGAGAGGAAACAGGTTTATGGAACTCAGGGGTCGTGAACCTTTAGGCAAAGAATTAGAGAGTCAGACAGAGAATGTTGTTATCTGTGAGTGGGCAGGCAGCAATGCAGGGTATGAGGATAAACCTATGTCTGCCACAGAGAGCAGCATATTTTTAAACGTCTCACGTGGGAGAGTAGGAAAGGAGGAACAGCAGTTGTGCCACAAGGAAATGGACTCATGATTAGCTGATATCCTCTAACCTTAGGTGGAAACAGTATGAGTTTTGGTAGTTTGACCACAGCAGGTGTTTCAAAAGTCCATGGACAGTCCTGGGTAAGAGGCCTCTATAAGTACAAAGGGACTACTTAGTATATAATATAACAGTAGATAGTTTTTTCTGTCTTCAGCCAATCTCTTTTTAGGGTCTTGCTGTCTGGAAAGTTTGCAGGAGGTGAGAAGTATGTACGATGAATTCTGGAAGAATGAAAAAGACTGCAGGATGGGGTTTAAGTCCATCATGTGATAACATCTGAAGGGAATAGAGACTTTAGGGGTGTGGGTGAATCTAATGATAAGTGATGCTTATATGTGTAAATTCATGCTTATCAAATATTTTTCAGTTATATGTAACTATGAATTCTAGAAAATTCAATGTGAGTTAAGCACCATCTAAACACAATTAATGTTTGCAGAAAAGGTGCAAATATGTATATTGTCCTAGAAAGAAGTGTATAAAGACCACTTATATGTAAAAAGTAACATCAATATAAGTTTTATATCAATTTTTATCTTTTTAAAGGTTAAAAATGATTAATGGGAATATATGAGGTATGTCTATGCACATACAAATGAGTATGAAAATTCAAAATTATTTCATTTTATGACAGAAGTATGAATTTATAACCTAGAAAAATATCAGGGAAATTGAATACATAATATGGGTTTAGATATCAGATATACTTATCTAACATTTCATGTTTAAGATCAATTTAGAAAACTAAAAATACGAACAAGCAAAAAAAAATCTGGGCCAACTGCTGTGTCTATTCTTTGTCACGACCAATAACAACTTGTAACTAAAACTCTTAAATGATGACAAACTCCATTGAATCACCAAAAACCATCCACCCTACCTCTTGGGGATGTGGATATCATAACAGCGCCTTTAGAGAAACCTGAAAATTTGACATAAAAAGATCATGTTCTGGGAGAGCTATTGGTTGTCCACTCTTAGTGTGATGGGAGAGTACAAGGCTTATCTGAAGTCCTGACTGGAGTAGTCTGTGATGCTGGACCATCCTTAGCTAACTGCTTTGCAGATTTCCTGAGCAGTTTGTAGTACAAAGCTGATCTGTGGGTGGTGTTTGTCAGCTTAGTGGTATTATCACAATCCAGGTGACTTCATTGTTGTGGGGCTCCAACTTCCTTTAGAATACTTCAAAGGTCACTGTTAGGAACGGATACTGCTCACTGCAGAAAAACTTTAACATTTTAAGTGTCAAATGCAACAGATATTTGAGAGATTAAGGGACCACAAACTATTAAATACATCTGGGCTACACAAACTTGTTACCTAATTACCTGGGGCAGATCCAAGACCAAAATTAAATGTAGGGAGCTATATGAAACTTATTTATAGAATTAGTTAGTACTCTCTATGATCATTAACATCATGACAGAATCTATCTATCATCTATTTATCTATCTATCATCTATCCATCTCTTATAAATTTTGACATAATATTTATACCTCAAGAGAAGTTTAAAAGAGTCAAAATAAAACAAAAGGATTATGAGGTTAGTGACAATAGAATAGTCCCTTATGTTGGTTTTTCTTTTGTCCCATATCAAGTGACTCTTCTGACATTAGACAGAGATTTCAGATTTTCCTTTAACTTGCATGCTTAAGTTTAGAGAAGAAAGGAATCATGTTCCAAATCTAAAGCTAACTTTAATTTTTAATTGAATTGGGACTACAAAAGACCATTTGTCTTATATGTCTTTTGAGAACAGTAGAAACACACATTAAGGAAGATTTATGAGATTTTATCCTATTGGAAGTGTGCTATAACATTAGGTCAATATACCCTTTTTCTTGGGACAATTTCTCTGGATGATTCGTCCTACATTTTCAGATGTCTCATTGGTTCAGTGGTCTTCAGATTCCTTAGTTGGATGTTTTTATTCTTCTGGAATTACAAAAACAAAACGCTGACCCAATCTTAACTTTGGGGAGTTTCCCTTGTTGGCAGTTTGAATGGCCATACTGTTTGATGAACTATTGCTTTTACTAATCAAAAGGATGTCTCTCCTGCTTGAATCTTTATCAATTTTGGTGGTATCCATATATTTCTTTCTCCTGTGAAAAAAGAAGCTAAATGTCTTTCCCAGTGTAACACATATCCTAATTTCCATTTTGAGATCAATATACCATTAAAGTCTACAGACTAATTTAATTCAGTGGTTTTTTTTCTATATCCATTGCCTTGCTGCAGCTGTTGTTTCTTTCTCATTGGAGTTTCAAAAATTAAAGTTAATAAAGCATTGTGTAATCCATGGAGGTGTTCATTACTCCTTTTTATTAAGCATATCTTCTAAAGTATGATTAGATATTTTTGTAACTATTTGTATTGTAACATTGTGTGGTATACCTGTAATATGCTTTATGTTGTAATATTCAAAATCGGTTGCTTTTTACTAGAGACATATGCTGGAGCATTGTATGTCTTAATTTGCACATTTTGCCATAATGGCCATAACTTACAATAAATGTGTGATTAAAGAATCATACTTTTCAGAACTCAAAACAGTTGCCCATTGAAATTTTGAATATGTAGCTTTAGAATGGTGCAATACTTTAATTTTCCAAACTCCACAAAATGAAGCACATCAATTTGCCAAATTTCAATTTTGAGTACCCTTTGGATTAATTCCTATAGTTACTGTGGTCTGCTTATAGAAAGAACAATTAGGACATTTCCTTATAATTTCCTTGGGTTTCTGGCTAGTGCTAGAAAAATCTTTCTTCAAATCCATGTTATTAACATAGTGCTTCTAATGAAATTCTGAGGCTTCTAGCATATTTCATGCAAATAGCTGATCAATTTTATTATTACCTTGTGCTTCAAAACCTGGTAGAACTGTGTGGGATATGATACATGTTATATATAGCCAAAGGTTTCTATTTCTGATTATTATTTGCAATTGAATAAATAACAATTTAATTATGAATCATCTGGGATAAGTTAAGCAGTTTCAACACGGAAAACAACTCTTTCTATATATTGAGTCAGTAACTATTTCAAGAAGTTCTGGAAAAACTAATGATACCATTAGAATAATATAGAATTCTGATTTTGAACAGAATAATAGGGGCTTTGAGCCATTTTACTTAGGGTCCCTGATTTATTTGCGTGAGTATAGAATATTGGGGCTTCAGAAATTGAGATTCCTTGCACAATATGAGGAAAGATCCAATTAGTTCTTTTATAAACTGTAATCTCTTGCTTTGGGGATATATATTTTTACAAATATATCCCCAAAAACTACTGCAAATTCTTTGCTAATGTCCATTTTCTGCCCTGTTCATAATGAGGTAATATTCAGTCCTCCAATTTCTGCTGTGTCTATTTCTGTTAATTGAGAAAGAATCAATTTTTTTTCTTTCAGAGTTCATTCAGAATAATTTACTATATAGATCTTTAATTTTTTTTAACTGCTTGTGTGGCAAAATATCCGTTGTTAAGTATTATCCTCTCTCTGCATAAGAATTCCTGTAGGAAAATACATAGAGGGTAGCACTAGGATACAATCAAGACCTGAATCCAAGAAATCCACATGTGCATTCTGTAGTTTTCTGTAGACAAAAGGAAAGACTCTCTTAGCCTCAGCTGAAAGTTTTCTTGGACCGTTTATGTTTTTCTCATATTGAATGGTTTGAAATAAATTGCTTATCTCTTGAGTTATTAATCCATGTTTGGGCCATAGCCAGTTAAATTTCCCAGCAAAATTTCAAAATCATTAAGAGTTCATAATTTATCTATCCTGATTTTTATTTTCTGAAGGTTAATTTTTTGTAAACCCATCTTTTATCATAGGTAATTATAGAATCTCTTTTTTATTTTTAGGAGCAATTTTGCAATGCCCAACAAGGCAAGTATTTTTTTTTTGCTTCTTCAAAGATTTTTTTCTCATGTGTCTGTTTCTGAATTATTGATTGAAAAAACTTTTTACAAATTATTTATAGTGGTTGTTGTACAAAATGTTGACACAAAGTAGGTAAGGCTGTTTAATACCCCTTATGGGAGTATTTTCCACTGATACCTTTTAACATGCTGGGAATTATTATAAGTATCCCACTGTGAAGGCAAATTTTCCTCAATCCTCTTCTTGTAAAGGTATAGGAAAAAATATCAGTCTTTTAAATTAACCACAAAAAACATTAAGGTAATAAAGAGAAGGCAAGGGAATTCCAGGCTGTAAAGAGCATATTGTTTTGATCATCTTATTACTAGCTCTTTGATCTATTACCATTCTCCAATTTCCAGATCGCTCTTTAATGACATATTAGGAGAATTTCAAGGAATTTTGTATTCTGCAATATGTTGAGAATTAATTTGCTTCTCTACCAGCTATTCTAATTCTTGTAATTTTCCTGATGTCAAAGTCCATTGTTCCATCCAGAGAGGTTTGTCTGTCAACCATTTTAAATGTAGGATCACCAGCTGTTGTGACCTACTGTGTTGTGCCTTATGTGCTCTGTGTACATCGGAACAGTCTGTGACCTTTCTTTTTCTTTTTTTTTTTTTTTTTTTGGTTTCTCTGTATTGTTTTGAAGACTGTCCTGGAACTCGCTCCATAGACCAGGCTGGCCTCAAATTCACAGAGATCCACCTGCCTCTGCCTTCCTAGGTGCTGGAATTAAAAGCGTGTGCCACCAACGCCC